TCCTCCATCCATGCAGCTCATACATATGTTCAAGCGTTTGCCCGGTAAGCCTGAGGAGGTCTCACGCGAGAAACCAACATTGAAAAAGAGCCCACTTCCGACCATGCAGCTGTTGTTAGTTTTGTTAACGAGTCTGCACGCATAAGCGAGAGCCTTATCTTGAAGAGGAGCATCCATCCATCCGTGTATCTGCTGCAAGCGTTTGAAACAAATGCGCGCGGTACTATGGCATGAGCCCCATTTTGAAAAGGAACGGCCCTGCGCCCTGTAACTGTTGAACCCCGGGAGCACGAGTTTCTGCTGCGCGAAGGGGAGGGCCCCATTATGAAAAGGATGTTGCCTCCAAACTTGTAGCCGCAGCTGTCCGAAACGTCGAGCATCAGGGCCACGAGCGGCGAGGAAGTATCAGCCCACAACGTCTGGTTGTGAGAGGAGTGGCGGAGGAGGAGGAGGATGAGGAGGAGGAGGAGGAAGACAATGAGGAGTGGCATGACGAGGACAGGGTCTATGGCGGGAGGAAGGGCGGGAGGAAGGATACATAGGGAGTGCGGAGGAACAGATGGGATGAGGGAGGAGTGTTGGCGCCAATGTTCAATTCGAACTGCCAGAATCGAACAGCACATAGCAGAGCAGAGAAGTCGGCAGGATAATGCAGAGAGGGACAGCAGAAAGAGAAGACGGGAAGAGGAGCAAGTGTAAGAGGAACGAAGAAGAAGGGGGAAACAGGATGGGAATGATGAAGACAAAGGAAAAATGAAGTGCGGGGAGGGGGAAGGCGGAACGGACAGGAGAGAGAGCAAGAGGAAGGGTAATAACAGTCAAATGTATCAGGCGGAGCAAGAAGAGAAATATGATAATGATAAAGGGCGGCGGCAGCAGCCGTGCTTGTTGGCCAGAGTCCACAAACTGTTCAGAGACTTCTCCTCCTCCTCCTCCCTCCTCATCCTCCTCCTCCTCCTCCTCCTCCTCCTCCTCCTCCTCTCATACCGCTTCGGGGAGGATGTCCTGGTAAAGAGCCCACACATTGGCCTGGTTGCGCTGCATCGCGTAGCCCTTGAGCAGGGAATTATACACCACCGCCTGAGGCGTTGCTGTGCAATGAAAATCGTCGGACTCATTCCACGCTCCTCGTCTATAATCCGTGCTCATCCTCGCAGATCATACCGGATTATGTCCATAGCTTACGCAGACTCCTCCTACATCTGCGCATGACGCCCATGGAGCACACTGTCAGCGCCAAGTCCAAGAGCCCTTTGCGTTATACCATAGATCCAGTTGCCTGCGGCAAATCCCGCCACCGCGCCTGTGCAACAACGCAGCAAGAATGAGGCTGAGTGCAGGAACGGCGCAATTCCGACGAGCGGTTTGAACTGACAAGTGTCGTGAGCTCAATCTCGTCCCAACCGCGCGGTAAGAACGAGGTCGAATTCACGCCCCGCTGCAATTCAGCGATCCGTCTGAACTTGGACGGGGCGTGACCTCGACCTCGTTTTCGCCCACGCGGTAGGAAAGGGGTCGTTCTCACGCCCAGCTGCGCTTCAACGAATGGTCTGTACTGGAACGGGTCGTGAACTCGGCCTCGTCTTCGCCCGCGTGGCATGAAGGAGGCCGAGTGCACGGAGGAGGAGGAGGAGGAGGAGGAGAAGGAAGAGGAGGAGGAAGAAGAGGAGGAGGAGGAGGAAGAGGAGGAGGAGGAGGAGGACGGGGGAGGAGGAGGAGGAGAGGAGGAGAGGAGGAGGAGGAGGAGGAGGAGGAGGAGGAGGGAAGAGGAGGAGGAGGAGAGGAGGAGGAGGAGGAGGAGAGGAGGAGGAGTGAGGAGTGCCTAACAGAACGGAAGGGGGTCGTGGTCTCGGCCTCGGCCCAGACCGCGCGCAATGGGGGGGAGGTCGAACTCACGCTCCGCGGCAGCTCGGCGAGTGGTTTGAACTGATGTGGGTCGTGATCTCGACCTCGCGTTCGCCCGCGCTGTATGGAGGAAGAGGATGAGGAGGAGGATGAGGAGGAGGAGGAGGAGGGAGGAGGAGGAGGAGGAGGAGGAAGTCTCTTGCGGCCCTCTTGTTGGGTTCTCCTGGGAGCCTCCTGAGGGCCCCGGGGCGGCCTCGTGGAAGCCTTCTGGGGCATCTGGGGGGGGGGCCTCTTGGGCCGTCTAAGAAGGCCTCTTGACCTCTCTGACGACTTCGGAGGCCGTCTTGGGGGCCTCCGCAAGCCGTCTTGGTGCCTTCTGAAGTGACTCAGGGCCGTCGTTGGGAAGCTCTTGGGCGATCGTGGAGTCTTCTTGGGTCGACTCGGGGCCCTCTTGGGGGCCTCATTGCCTGCCTTTGAGCTGTTTTGGAGACCTCTTAGGCCGTCTTGGTCGGTCGGATGCCCAAACAGGCGAGAACCTCAAACTCCATCAACAACTTTGGGAGCATCAATGGTTGTTGCTTCCTCGGGCTCGTTTGAAGGGTCTCTTGGCACCCCCTTGGGCTGTAGCCTCTTGAACTGCTTTGCGGCCGTCCTGGGAACCTCTTGGGCCGTCTTGGGCCATCTTGGGCCGTTTTGTTGTCATCGTGACTGCCTTGGAAGCCGTCTTGGACGCCATCCTGCCTGTCTGGAGGCCGAAAAGGGCGCCAGGGTGCGACTTTCGGCAGGTGCGCCGCGGTGCGGGAGGGACGCGCCCCCAGCACACCAAAGACCCCCCCAGACAACAGCAAGCATGCTAGCACGCCCTCTGGGCACAATGCCCGCTGGCGGGTAGACATCTCTTTAGTTTTCTCTCTCTCTCTCTCTTGTTCTCTCTCTCTCTCTCTCTCTCTATATATATATTGTTGTTCTCTATCTCTCTGTGCTCTGTATATGTTGTTTTTTTTGTTCTCTCTCTCTCTCTCTCTCTTTTTCTCGCTCTCTCTCTCACACACAATGTATAGATACATGTACATTCCTTCCTGTATTCTACGAAATTGCAGTGGGGATCCCCCCCCATGAGATATGGGGGGGCCACGAATCCCCCCTCCCCATGACGGCCGAACAGACGGCCCAGGACGGCCCAACGGACGGCCCCCATGCTTTCCAAAACAGCCAACGGTCATCTTCTCTTTCCGTTGACACCCAGTGTCCGCAGGCTGTGGTGGCAACAGACACCAGCCCCAGAAAAGAACAGGCTGGTGGTGGAAGAAAACCCTTGCACCCCACCAGCCCCAGAAAAGATCAGGCTGATGGTGGCGCGGCAACTGTACAGTGTGGTTGCACAGACGACGAACTACTGTAAGACGCCCTCGCCGAACATCGAAAATGAAACAACTCAGAATGGGCCTCAGGGGGCAACATGGTGGCACTAGACACCAACCCCAGAAAAGAACAGGCTGATGGTGGCGCGTCACCCGTGCACAATGGTGGCACAAACGAAAAACTGAAAACTGAACTTGAAACATCTGCTCGGCATATCAGATTGAGATCACACTAGATTGGTCCGCGCGACGATTCTTTTTCAATGAAAGATGCAGGTCGCATTGCCGACAACGAGACAATATTGAACCGCACAACTGTCTCAAGCCTTGCAACCGCGAGGGTACGGCCATCGGAGGCGAGGGATCCATGGAGTGAGGGAGTGGCGAACCTTCCCGAACTCCGTCGGGATCAAAATCTCAAGATATCTCGTGTGAGGCCGCACGGACTCGAGATGCAACGGTTGTCGCCGTTGCCGTAGCCCTTCGACGGACGACGCTGACCCTCCAATCAATTCTTGCACTGCAATGGTCCTGGCAGATTTTTGAAGATCTGGCGAAGATCCTGGGCCGATTTCGGTAGGCGGCCGGGTTCCCGGGTTCCCAAATTCCCTGTTCTGGGTTCTGGGTTCCCGCTTCCAGGCTCTGGGTCGGTTTCGGTGGGCGGGCTGGGTTCCCGGGTTCCAAATTTCATGTCAGGTTGATTGGGCTCCCGGGTTCCCAGCACCTGCTTCCGGGGTCCTGGTAAGATGCCGATGCAGAAAAACACATGCATATCACCACTCCCCAAACAATGCTTGCACTGAATGGGGTCCTCTTGGGCCGTATTGGGGCTCTCCTGGGCCAATCTGCGGCCCATCCTCGCTGTGTGGAGGGTCTCTCTGGGCTGTCGCGGGACCATCTTGAAGCTGTCCAGTGCCGTCTAGGGGTCCTCTCACGTCGTCTATGTTGGAGCCCTCTTGGGCCGTTTCAGCCGCGGGATGCCCGAGAAGGCGAAAACGCCACAACCATTTGTATACGGAAGGGGGAGTCCGTGCTTTTGGCCTCGTCGGGCCTTCCGGCGAAACTGCGGCCAGGCAAAGTGCCCGCCAAATGATCAAGCCATCCGATGAGTGCGGTCCTTCTCTGGAATGCTATGCAGAAATCGTGGCAGTCTGTACAGGTGGAGCGTGAGAGCTCAAAATTTGCCTTGAAGCCTCCGGCATTTGGCAGGATGTGATAGAGATTCAGCGCCGACGTGGCCCTGCGAATTTGGACACAATGAAGGCCCCCATTCAACCTTTGTATTACACGATCGCCCATCGAGCCGTAAGGCTCCGAGGCGCGTGGATCGAACTGACGACGATGGGGAATCCGTCGTGGCCGACCTCGAAAACGCACCCGCTGAGCACGGTCCGCGTGCGCTCGCGACTGCGGGCGGAACGCGGAGCCGCACCATGGACATGAGATTTGCGGGCCTTCGATGCGCCAACGGATATGCCAACGCGACCGGGCACTCCGTCAAAGGCAGCCGCGGAGGCAATGGTGCCGCAAGCATAAGCCTGTATCGACGAAACGGGCTCTGAGCCGGTATTCTTCAACTGCTGCTCCTGACAGTGAGGCGCCTTCTGCGGATCAGCATCGTTCGACTGGCTCCCCTGTGTGGCTGTCAGTCAGTGGTTCGTCGCGTTGCGCTCCTGTTGCTGTGGCGATGTGCAAGCACGAACTTGTGAAACAAAAAAACTACACGGACTGCGCGGCAGTCCCCGCCCTACGCGGCGCGCTCCAGCGCCTCAGCCCACCACCTCGCGAGCGCCCTCAGTCCGACGACGATGCCGAGCCTGAACTGCCTCGCGGGACGCCTTCCACGGCAGAGCAGATCGCGCTGCCATCTGCACTGAGGCAAACCCCCGTCGGGCGTGTCACTCGACGCCGCGACAGGATCTTCGACGTCACCACCGCCGGCAGGACGTGCGGGGGCAGGCCCGGCCCGAGATTGGCCGTGACGCTGCGGCGGATGCGCCGCCTCTGGGCCGCCTTGGCGAACGGGCTCTCCTCGGCGGCCTCCCCCGCGTCGCTGTCGACCGGCTCGGTGAACAGGCTGCAGTGCGGCCCGCCGCTCCACGGCGAGGGCGGCGGGCTCGAGGGGCTGGGCCGCGGGCCCCCGACAGAGGCAGCCGCCTGCCGCAGGAGCGCCTCCGGAGCACCGCCGCCGGCGGCCCTCGCGGGAGGCGGGGACGCCCCCCGCCCCGCGGCCCGCGGGCCCGCAGCCACCACGGCCGCGACGCTGGCCTGGCCAGGGCCCCTGCACTCCGGGTCGAACTGGATGACCTCGATGCGTGTTGCCTCCTCGTACTCGAGGGCCACGTCCCAGAAGTAATCTCGAGGGCCCAGGCAAGCATCATCGAAACAGTATCAAACGAGCACCGCGCCCTGGGACCCGACGCGTGAAAACCCTGCCGTTTTTCGGCGCTTTCTTGTGGCTCGAGATTCTTCCTGGTGATCAAGCCTAAAGTAGGTAGGAACATCACAAACCTCGATGCTGTCGCTGAACGAGGGGCGCACGCGCCACGCCATCTGCCGCGGCTCTCGCTCGGCCGGGCCGACGGCCCAGAGCGGCTTGCAGCAGCAGTCCCAAAGAGGCGCGGACGGAAACAAACAAACAAACGGCTGGAGCCAGAATGGCTGCGGAGAGAAGGAGAAGGAGGAGGAGGAGGAGGAGGAGGAGAGGGATGAAGAGGAGGAGGAGGAGGAGGAGGAGGAGGAGGAGGAGGAGGAGGAGGAGGAGGAGGAGGAGTGGGATGAGGAGGAGAAGAGGGAGGAGGAGGAGGAGGAGGAGGAGGAGGAGGAGAGAGGGGGAGGAGGAGGGGGAGGAGGAGAGGGAGGAGGAGGAGAAGGAGGCGGAGGAGGTCTTGAGAGTCATCTTTGGCCGTGCTGGGCCCATCTTGGGCGCTCTTGGAGCACTCTTTTGGATCGTCAGCGGGCCCTCGGAGGCTTCTCTTTGAGGCCGTCTTGGGGGGTAGTTAACCTCAGGGTGCCATTGAGGACCTCCCCGGAGCTATCATTAGCACCGCACCGTAATTAAATAATTATTGGGGTTTTCGCCGAACGATACAATTAGCACCGCGCAAATGGAAGGAAAATAAATAATTCCCGCGCAACGGCTCAGGTGGTATCCCACTTGGAATTAGAATATGAGTAAGAATAATAATGCGAATAACAATAAGAATACGAATAGGACTCCCCCATGGGACTCCCGCACAGCAGACGCGTCTGCGTTCAGAGCAGTTTCTGAGGATGTCTCAGGCGTGGCGCTTGTTTCAGAACCACACGGAGACCAGATTTGCGAGAATGTCTCAGGCGGTTTGCTTGTTTCGGCGGGCAGACTCGTCTGCGTTCAAAGCAGGTTGCGAGGTGCCAAGGTAACGCTTCTAGGGTGCCGGATGCGTTATACTTCCGCCAGAGATGCGGGGGATTCTTAATTGCTTACTCGGGTTATCTTGGGCTGCCTGGGAGGCCTCGTGGGGAGCCGTCTGGAAGCCTCCTAGAAGGCCCTGGGAGAGGGTATCCAAAAATGCTGGCCGATGCTTGCGAGGTGGCCGGCCCCCAGTTTAGCACGGCGATTGTCGTGAATATATATATATATATATATATATATATATATGTATGAATCTATATATACACAAGATTTTAAGGCTCGCTGCGCTTCGCCTTCTAATATTGATCCTTCTTATCTAAGCTGATGGAGGCTGGAAGCCTGTAGGTGAAAGTCCCACCAGCCATTTAGGGCTACGGTGGTATAGCGAGTTTGGTCTTCTCTCTTCCCCTTCCTTCCCCTGCTCGGGGGAGGGGTAACCTTCCCCTGGACCTGGAGGGGGGGGGGATGGAGGCGTTAGAGCGTCCAAGACGGCTCAAGATGGCTCCAAAAGGCGCTCCAAGTCGCAAGATGGCCTCCAAGATGGCCCAAGATACCTCAAGATGGGTCAAGATAGCCTCCGACACACCTCCAAGAGTCCTCAAGACGGATCCAAGTGCCCTTCGAGCCCTCCACGGCGCCCTCCAAGAAGCCAGAACCCTTCAAAAGCCTAAGGAAAGTCAATGTGTTTGGCATTCTCGTCTTTTCGCTTCCGATGGGCCCCTGAGGCATCAAGATGGCCCCAATGTGGCCCAAGAGAGCCCCAAGAGGGGCCCAAGAAGGCCCAAGACGGCCCCAAGATCGCCCAAGAGGCTTCCAAAGAGCGCTCCAACACGTCCCCAAGACGCCGTTTGAGAGCCTCCGAGGGGGGGACCTGAATTGAGGACCCCGCTCTTTTTGAACAATGGGGCCCAAGACGGCCCCGAGAGGCCTCCCAGCCTCTCCTGAAGATTCTCCACCCCGCCCTTTTTGGCCCAAGATGGCTCCAAGAGAGCCCTAGATAGCCCAAGATGGCCTCCCAAATGGCCCAAGATAGCCAAGCATGGCTCAAGATAGCCTCCGACAGATCTCCAAGAGGCCTCCAGACAGCCTGAATATGGCCCGACATAGCCGAGCATGGCTCATAATAGTTTCCGACAGCATCTAGCCGAGCGTGGCTCAGAATAGCCTCCAACAGGCCTCGGGGAAGCTGGCAATCAATTCTGGACGGGCTGGTGGGGATACTTTCTTGGTTCGCGGCTCCAAAACGGATGACAGGGAGCAAACACAACGTCCTGGGCGCGTGACGATGTAAATTGGCCACCGAGGCGAATGCACGCGCAAGGGACAAAATGACCCTCATTAAGACATTAAAGCGCAAGCTGCGTCAGCAGGAGACCGGCCCAGACATCCCGGCAGGTGGGGACGCAGGCGCGGCGACCGGCGGTGGAACGGGGGGGAGAAGTCGCCCTTTCGGCGCAAAACTCCAGCCGAAACACATTCGGTGAGGCCAGGAGGCGAGGGGCAGGAAGAAGAGAGCGAAAGCGAACGACAAACACAAGCTCATCGCGGCACCCCGAGTCAACGATGGTGCAGCGAACGAGGCCTGACTCATCAGGGCTCACTGAATCTGAGCTGGTGGGGATATTTGTTTTGGTTCGCGGCTCGAAGGACAGATCCAGGGAGCGGGATTCACGCTTGGGGCACAGAGCGAGATAATTGGCTGCAGAGGCACGTAGGCCGCTGAAACGAGTGCACATGCCAGGGACAAAATGACCCTCATTGTGGGGGACCGTCGCAAACATCCCAGCGGATGGGGACGCAAGCGCGGCACTGGCGGCGGACGGATAGGAGAAGTCGCCCTTACGGCGCCAGACTCCAGCCGAACCACCCACCAAGAAAAAGGCACGGAGCACGGATCGTACTGTAGCAGCACGGAGAAACGGCCCTGTCGGCACCAAACTCCAGCCAAGACAGACGGAAGCGATAAAAGAGGGAACAAGAGAGTCGCTGCGGACGCCAAACGGGCACCCAACGACAGGAAGAAGGGGAGTGCACAGAGGGGCCTCACTCGCGGTGACTCACTGTCGCAGACGTCGGGTCTGCCGCTCTTGGACGCGAGAGCGAAGGATACCCAGTCAGCGACCATGCGGTAACGTCACTTTCCGCCTGTGTCCACTGCGTGCAACTTATCCGACACTGAAGAGATCGGGGGCACAAAGTTGCAAGCGCAGACCGAAGCACCTGCAAGAAGGGCCAGCAGGGGGAACAGCCATGACCTGCCAAAGGATGAACCACTCGTGCAGGAACACGCCCTTGCCAGGCCCGTCATCAGGTAGTACCAGAAGCGGGTAAGGTGCACGCCAGTCTTCACCTTACGCGAAACCAAGCCCTTATAGCGCCCTGAAACGTACCATGTGGATCAGGGCGACCCGCAGGTGGGGGTGGCACTGCTAGCCGCTGTGGCGGTGGCAACGGGAAAGGGTTGATACCACTCCCACGCGTCCTCACGACAGCGTGCGCCGCTGGCGACCAGCCGATGCACCACGTCATATCCGTCCAGAGAGTCTGGGGGATCACCGCTGTGGTGTCTGGCGCAGGCAGGCCCGGTGCGCCGAGATGAGCACCCACCTGTCCGCTGGCGCGGCTGGAAGCCAGATGCCAGGCCAGTGTGTGACCCGCTGGGGTGGTGTGACGCTGGTGGGGATTGTGAATGGGGTTGAAGTGCAAGGGCACAGAGACCCTGATCCGTTGGTAGAGGGAAGGAGGGATAGATGGATGTCCTTCCCTCCTGCACGATCAAAGGTCTGATCGATCTGTCCCAATACCTGGGCCCAAACGGCCAGGCGCAGGAGAGGTGAGGATAAGGAGTATATATGAGGGTATTACACGGGTTCTATTCACACCCCCCGTCCCGAATCCCGCCCGTGAGGGTGGGACTCGGGAACAGAGGAAAAGAATCCGTCACCCTTTTACTCCTTTAATCCTCAAGGTTCAGGCAGCTGAGCGCAAAATCTGTATAGCTTCAGCTGCAAAGTAAGGTAAGAAGGAACACCCAGGGCCCCGATTTCTTCGCCAAGCACACTTTGGTGCCCCCTCGGTGCGCCCCAAAAAAACGCTTCGGCACTCGAGGGCGGAGAAGAATGAGACACGGGTGGGCGGAGAAAGAGGATCTGAGCCAGTTAACGCAACATCAGAATCTGCCGCGCCTAAGCGGGGCAGGTGTTGCCACCAGCTCTCTGTCGAGAGCTGGGCATCAGATCAGTCTCAACGCAATGTCAGTAAAGTCTAAAGAGTAAACGATAAAAATATATATTCTGAGGTCGTGTTGATGAACACGATCGCGTTAAGAAACACGTCTAAATGTCAAAGCAAATGTCTGGCCTGACGCAAAGTCGCGTTGATAAACACGAAAAGTTGCATATGTATTTATGTATGTATATATATATATATATAAATTCTGTAGTTGGCGACTCACGTTGGCGTTGCTCCTTAGGGGGCTGCCTTGGGCATCGCAAGAATACGCGCGTGTGCGTGGCCACTTGTCTTGGATATTGAAGTGGCCTAACATGATATAATAGCCACCGCTCGAGGCGAACTTGTGTAATGATAGAGTTCAAGCCTTTCGAGCGGTGGGCCTGGCGGCCGACTCTACTACGCGTCGCCCCTCTCGTAGAACCTGCGGTCCCACATCCTGTGGCCATCGTGCGACGCGTAGCTCGTCTTGAAGGTCTCCCAAGGCGTCCTCGGGATCCAGTGGCGGAACCACTCATTGTACTGGATGTCGCGGACGTATACGAACTCGTCGCTGTTGTCCGTGATGTATATCCAGCATTTGATGTAGGGGCTCCAGTATCTGGGCCCCCACTGGCTGTCCTCCAGGTTGTCGCGCCACCATGTAGCGTAGTCCTCCGTCGTGCGCGCCCTCTTGGCGCGGGGAGGCGTCGCAGGGCTGCGGCTGTCGTCGCTGTCCTGCCGCTGCGCTGCAGTGCCGCGCGGCCCCGCGGGCACGCAGTCCTGCGCGCCAGAGGCGCTGGACCCTACAGCGTCGCCAGGAGCAGGGCGCGGCGGCGGCGGCGGGTGCCGCGGCATGCGTGGCTCCATGGCATCATCAGAGTGTCGGGAGCATGTATCAGGTTCGATCGGATCGGTTCTCATCCCTGAATCAACCCCCCTTTGGTCAGTGGAACCCAAGGCGGGTTCAACAGAAGCAAACGCGACAAGCTTGCGCTGCGTGACTCTCTCACGGGTGCCATCCCCTCTGGGAAGGGCAATCGTGACAAGTCCGCGT